GTTACATTATAAAACTTATTGTTCAGTGACCTCTAAAAGACAGGCTCAGAAGATGGCAAAAAACAAACCGTGGATAACTAAAGAATTTAAACAAATGTTAAAAAGGAAAAAAATGTTATATAAAAAATATCTAAAGCACACATCGTCAGACAACTATACAGCACTCAAATCATGCAGCAAATTATGCAACAAGATCAAGTGCCAGTTGAAAAGACAATATTATTTTAATCTTCTACAACAAAGCAATGGCGACAGCAAGAAAACATGGTCAATCATCAATTCTTTAGCGAAACGAAATAACAAAAAAACATCAACAATTCAATTAACTTTAAAAGATGATCCAATTGATAATCCTGAAACTATTCTCAATAATTATTTCATCAATCTGGCCTCAGATATGCAGCAATCATTTGTAGAAGACACAAGATGGAAAAATTATCTTCAAAATGGGTAAGTAAATTCATTTTTTTGTAACCGTGTTTCATCATCTGAAATCATTTCAACCACAAAACTTTTCAAACCCAAGACGTCGAGTGGTTACGATGAAATATCAACAAAAATAGTAATATCAACAATTAAATCAACAGCAACAATTCTTGAATATTTAATCAACTTATCATTTGACAAGGGCATCTTTCCTAAGTGCTTCAAGACATCCAAAGTTGTTCCAATTGCAAAAGAAAGAGGTAACTCAGAGGTTAAAAACTTTCGACCTATATCTTTGTTGCCTGTTTTTTCGAAGATTATTGAAAAATTGATGCACAGTCGTTTGCTCAAATTTTTTGAAAAAAATAACATTCTTTCTAATCATCAATTTGGTTTTCGAAAAAACCACTCAACTGAAATGGCAATACTGGAACTGATTCAAAAAATTGGAGTCGCAAGTGAAAAGAAAAATTATGTAATTGGAATATGTCTCGATCTTTCAAAAGCTTTTGATTGTATTGACCATTCGATTTTATTACACAAACTTCATCACTATGGTATAAGAGACTCTAGTTTGACTTGGTTTCGTAGCTACCTTTCATCTAGATATCAATTCGTTACTTGGA